GGTCTCACCCTGGCAGTTGAGACAAGCCACCCCAACCAACTTGGTGGCACATCAGTGTTAGCTTTGGCAGGATAAATCTCCCCAGATCTATCCAATGGCTGTGAAGATTCTAAACTAACACGAGTCTCATACGTGTTCAGTTTAAGGGTATTACACAGAAACACATCATAATAACATGAATCAAATATGTACTTTATTCATTTACATTAAATGTCATAAGGTACATCGTTCTGATTGGAGCTAAGGGCATACACCGTCTAACATTTTCTCAGTACTCTTGGATATACTTGATGAGATTCCGTGATGAGGTGCCATCCTTGGTTTGACAGTTTCATCAAATGGTGCTAACGCAGTTTGGGGTACGAGTGAAAGTGTTCAGGTCGGACAATGCCAAGGAATATTTTGAAAAGAATCTAATATAATATCTTTCAGAGCATGGAGTAATCCATTAGATTAGTTGTTCTTACACTCTACAGCAAAATGGTGTAGTAGAAAGAAAGAACAGACACATTGTAGAGATTGCAAGGAGCATAGTGATAACCTCTATTGTCCCAGTTCGGTTTTGGGGTGATGTAGTTCTCACAACAGTTTTTCTGATTAATCGGGTGCCTTCTCGTATTCTTGGACATAGCAACCCGTTCAACCTTCTTTTTCTTGAGGGGGAGATGTTCCACATTCCTCTCAGGGTATTTGGTTGTGTTTGTTTTGTCTATGTTCTTGGTCCTCACCGCTCGAAGCTTGACCCGAAGGCAAAGAAGTGTCTTTCTTGGGTATGCAGAAAACCAGAAGGGATGTTGCTGCTATGACCCAGCCTTTGGGAGTCAGTATGTTACTATGGATGTCACTTTTTTTGAGTCCACACCTTTCTTCGGGGGGGGGGGGGGGGTTCTTCTCAGGGGGAGTGTTCTGGGGAAGAAAGTGAGCAATCTATTCCACTTCCGGTTCTAGTCCCCTTGTCCACTCCAGTGTCCGACCCTCCTATGTCACCTACTTTACCACCTTCCTTGTTTCCTGTTTCTCAGTGCTTTACACGACAACGCCTACGACTTCACATGGAGGTTGATTCCACATCTGAAGAACCCACATGACTTCCCATCGACTCCTCGGAGACTCCAGATTCGACTGACACTGACCCAGGTATGCCTCACGCTTCCTTTGATGTTTTAATTTCTATTGATTCCACTAACCCCATTGCACTCATAAAAGGGAAGAGAAAGTGTATTGCTCATTGTATCTCAACTATCTCTCCTACAGTGGACTTTCTCCTTCTTACTGGGCCTTTCTTTCTTCCCTCGACTCCGTGTCTATACCCAAGGGTGTCAGTGAGGCTCTTTCCAAACCTGAGTGGAAGACAACTATGTAGGAAGAAATGGAAGCTTTGATTAAGAATTAGGCGTGGAAGATTGTAGATCTATCAGAGGGCAAGGAGACAGTTGGATGCTGAAGGGTTTATACAGTGAAATACAAGGCAGATGGAAGTATAGAAAGGTATAAGGCAAGGCTGGTTGCAAAATGGTACACTCAAACCTATGGCATAGATTATCTAGAGACCTTTGCACCAGTTGCAAAAATGAACTCAGTTCGGATCCTTCTCTCTCTTGTTGTTATATACTCTTGGCCCCTCTTCCAACTTGATGTAAAAAATGCTTTTCTCAATGGGGACCTGCAAGAAGAGGTGTATATGGATATTCTTGCTGGTTTCTATAGTGATGTAGAAAAGGGAAATGTATGCAAATTGAAGAAGTCCCTATATGGTTTGAAACAATCACCTAGAGTGTGGTTTGACAGGTTTAGAAAAGCCTTGGTTGCATTTGGCTATACTCAGACTCAATCAGATCATACTCTGTTTGTGAAGTGGAGGGGGTCCTTGGTGTCAGTTCTGATAGTATATGTGGATGATATTGTAGTTACAGGAAATGATCTGAGTGAGATTGATAGCTTGAAGAAGAATCTGCACAGAGAGTTTGAAAGTAAGGATCTTGGGGAGCTGAGGTATTTCTTGGGCATTGAGGTGGTAAGATCAAAGCATGGAATCTTCATCTCACAGAGGAAGTATGTTCTGGATCGTTTACAGGAGACAGGGAAACTTGGGACAAAGGCAGCTAATACACCTATTGATCAGAATCATAGGATAAATGCTTTAGAAGGTGAACTGATGAAGGATGCTAGGAGATATCAGAGACTAGTGGGGCGGTTGTTATATTTATGTATGACAAGACTAGACATCTCTTACGCAGTGAGTGTGGTGAGTCAATACATGCATGCCCCACGAGTTCAGCATTGGGAGGCCGTTGACAAGATACTTGCTTATCTGAAGGGACACCCAGGTAGAGGCATACTATTTGCTGACCATGGACAGTTGAAGCTAGAGGCTTACACTGATGCCGATTGGGCTGGATGCCTAGATGACAGGAGATCTACATCAGGATTTTGCACTATTGTTGGAGGTAATCTAGTTTCATGGAAAAGTAAGAAACAAACARTTGTGGCAAGGTCAAGTGCTAAAGCTGAATGTAGAGCCATGGCACATGGAGTTTCAAAGCTCCTCTGGATCCATTCCTTGTTAGGAGAAGTTGGGATTGAGGAAGAAGAACCTATGATGCTATACTGTGATAATCAAGCAGCAATTAACATTGCACACAACCCGGTTCAGCATGATAGGACGAAGCACATTGAAGTGGACAGACATTTTATAAGAGAAAGGGTGACTTCATGGAAAGTTTGCTTACCATATGTTGCATCTGATTTGCAGCTTGCTGATGTTCTTACAAAAGGTGTTGCAAGAAACAAGCTGGAGCATGACTTACGCAAGTTGGGAATGTGTGACATTTATTCCCAACTTGAGGGGGAGTGTTGAGTTATTGGGATGATGTTATGTTATTAGGCCCAGCTTTTTTTATTTTTATTTACTTTATTTAGTTAGGAAGTTATTGGGTTTTAGGCCCATTAGTTTATGTTAAGTTATGTCTTTTCAGCTACTTACTAGTAGCCGACCTACAAAGGGTATTCTTGTATTTGTACATTCTTTTTTATAAAGTATATAAATCAAAGGAAGGGGGCGGCCAGATCTAATTCTTTTTGGCTACCTCTCATTGTCTTCTACTCTTTCTTTCTAGCTGAAACCTTTCAGCACCTTCTTCTTTTCTTCACCAAGTTTATATTAAAAACAACTATCAGCTTTTCTACTATAGTGACATTGTCCTAAGACCTGAGAAGATCCTCGACTATCGCTGGGTTCTTCATGGAAAGCACGTGGTTCAAGAGGTTTTAGTAGCTTGGGCAGGGCTCCCACGCCATGACTCCACATGGGAACCTTACTGGCAGCTCAAGAATTAATTTCCAGACCTGGACCTTGAGGACAAGGTCCATCTTGAGGGTGGGGGAACTGATGAGAATCAAAGCCCAGTTCCGACTCAGAAGCCCAGGCCCCCAATCACTTGTACTTACCTGAGGCAGAACTGAAGGAAGCTAGCTCAGCCCCATGCATCACCAGACAATACGTCAGCTGGTCCCTCTGTCTGAATCTGTTATGACTGACAGAGTTTGTTAAGATATTTTGATTATAAGCCAAGCCACTATATATAGGCTGGCCGAATGAATGAATGCATGAGAATCCCTCTCTCTCTCTCTCCTTCCCTACCCAATTTCTCTTTCAGGAGGTCGGGTCTTCCTCGATGAGACTCCTGGTGGTGAGCAGTATCTCATCAGAATTTCTTCCTGCATCTTGTAGTGACGACGTTTGCTTTCTTGGATGAGGTTATACTGCACTAAAGTTTGCAGGTGTTGGTTTTTGTTCTTCCATGTAATGCAAATATGGTATCAAACTACTGATCCATAAAAAAAATCTGGTGCCAAACTCTTTGCAATGGCCTTTTATCATTAAGAGGGTTTGGGTGAAATATTATAGCACCTAAAAGGCCATCACCCAATGCCGGTCTCCATTATTGGGGATCTTGTGAGGGGTGGACTGGATAAGTGGATATGAACCTAACCTCTGGCATTTGAACACAAAAATGGCCATTCTCAGACTTGAACCTATATTCTCATGCTTGTCATTCCAAGATTTTACCACATACCAGGATTCAGTTACATCTTCGCTGTTATTTAGTTATTCTAGAGGATAATTGGGATGATTCGGCAAGTACTTCACATGCTTATAAACTAGAGATTGGGAACTGTTTTCTCATGTTTGCACTTCAAAATTGAGTGGGTTACTGCATTAGTAGTATCTATTGTTTGTCTCCAATTTATCTAGTAATTGAGTAACTTAGCCTTGGGATATACAGCTGTACTGAGACATGGTTGTAGTGTTTTCCAAATATATGATTTGCATATCTAAATTCACATTGTTGGTAAAGATTTGATAGTTCATTGGATGGATAGAAGATGAACTTAGGTCTGGATGAAAGGTTAAAGTCATTTTCTTTATGGATTCATTTGCTTCATTGTAGGAGCTGTAGGTAAAGGCAACTGTTACTCTGACTCCTTAATACTAGAGGATGCAATGGTCATGTGTTCTCTATCAGCTCGTAATATTTCACATTCATCTTTTGACCAAATTTCTCTACATTTTCAATGTTTCTGCCATTCTTTCTTTTTCCCAAATGCATGTAACCAACAGATTTCTAGATACATTCTCCTCTCTATTCTTGATGATCTTCTGTTTCTTGTTCATAGATAAATGATACATGTTTCAATCAAAGGCTATTCCTAGCTCAATGGGCCCCAGCAATGTAGGGAGTAATGTCAACAATAACAATAACAACAGCCCAAATTTGGCCTCTAGGCAACGTCTACGTTGGACACATGATCTCCATGAACGCTTCGTTGATGCTGTAGCCCAACTTGGTGGCCCAGATAGTATGTTACTCAACTTTACTTTTGCTGATTTGAATCTATTTTCTATTTGAAAAATGGAAAACTCAGTCTATTTATGCTCAGTCTTGTGTAAAATCAAATCATGAATTGAATGTGTTAGTTCAGGTTACAAATAACCCAGAACTTCGATGAAAATTTGATTGTTGGACACCCCAATGCTAACAAATATTTTTTCATAAGCAATGAGAAGTATATAGAAGGTACTAAAAGAAAAGAGGAAATGGTTGACCTTGTCCAACAAATGGAAGAAAAAATGTCCAGTAAATGGAAAGGAGAAAAGTAAAAAGCCTTGGGTGCTTCACCAGTGGTTCCTAACTCAGAGGGCTAGGGGGCATTTGCTATCCATTTTTAGTTTTATGCAGCCTAACCATGTGATTTTAAGAACTCAGTTGGATAACTTAGATCCACCCTTGAAGGTTTTTATATAATCATGGCCATGTTGTCAATGTTCCATTTTTGGTTTTTCAGGGGCTACTCCGAAAGGTGTTCTCAGAGTCATGGGTGTTCAAGGCTTAACTATATATCATGTCAAGAGCCATCTTCAGGTAGCTAAGCCTTATAATGGATCTTTCTGATGGGAAGTCCTTTTCTTCATATTCATGCTTTTCTTTTGATTTGTTAAACCCTCTTCTTCAGAAGTATCGGCTTGCAAAATACCTTCCAGAGTCTACAGCTGATGGTATGTATATTGGGCTCTCACCACAGAAACTTTCTAGATGATTAGCCAATTGGTAGTATTAATTCTTTTTGTTGAGTGAATAATGGGAGCTTTTCCTTAATTGGCAAGGGTATACTGAAAATATAGTTAAATAGTTTCTATTCAGAGGAGAATTTTAGTAACACTTGCTTTGTTAATGTAGGTAAAAAGTCTGACAAGAAGGAACCAAGCGAACTGTTTTCCAGCTCGGATGGTTCTTCGTAAGTTCCATATTTTTCCATCTAGATAATTCTGACATACGTGGAGTAAGAGTTTAAGCTGAACTGCAAGGGAGGGAATTTTTGAGTCTTGCAAGGGGGGTTAGGAGTGTGTAAGTTGAGGTTGTCTATTGTTTCAGAATCTTGATTTAAGGCTGTGATTCAGGCGGTGCCATTTTGGGGGTTTTCTTTCTTCTCTTGGGGGTTCAGGTGGTGTTGTTTTAGGTGAATTTTACTTTACTTTTCAAAAAAAATTCTGTATTTATGGAAGTTCAAAGAGTGGCAAATTAAGCCAAGCCTTAGTAATACTCACAAGTATATGACATTTGCTCAGAACTAGGTTGTGATCCTTGCCCGATCAGTAATTGTGTTGGACATTTGCTYAGTGACCTGACAATACATTTGCACACCTAGTGCTAAACAAACTGGCCCATTGTCACCCCCTCATCCCCAGCAAAGAGTGTGTGCATGCAGATGCGAGTTTATCGTCACATTGCTTATCACAAGATCACATCAAGAACCAGAATACTAGATTGGATGGTAATAATCATCCAAACTATTATATTTCTATGTAGTCCTTTAAAAATATGGCAAACAGTTGCAGAAAAAAGTTGTCCATTGGTTGGAAGCATGTTTTGGAATACTCATTAGTTTTTAATTTTTTATATTTATCTGGTTTGTTTCTGAGACTATGTGGGATCTTTCTTTTTGTAGTGGTATGCAAATAACAGATGCACTGAAGTTGCAGATGGAAGTGCAAAAGCGGCTGCAGGAGCAACTGGAGGCAAGGCCTTTTCCCTAGAATTTTTATCTGTACTATTTTTGTATAGGAAGTTATAAATTTGTGATTTGTCCTTTTCAGTATTAATGTATAAGAACCAGATCAGGTTCATGAAGTTGAAGCACAGAAGAATGTCTTTGAAATGGAGCAAATTCTGGATATGGAAAAAGGCAAAAATGTTATAACTGGTAATTTAGGCAGAAGATCTGTATAAGTTGGCTGAGATGTCAGACATGGACTACTGACATTCTGAGATATTCTTAAAGCAATAGATGGATACACTAAAACTCCAGATAACAATAATGTATTCACTGTTTAGCTTGGCTAACAAGAAAATGCATGTTTGGAATTATTAAAAATTATATATATGATTTGGAAAGGGGCCATGGCTTGGTGCAATGGTAAAATCTTGGACTGCCAAGCATGAAAACATGAGTTTGAGTCTGAAAACAGCCACTTTGTGCAAAAAAAAAAAAAGAAAAGAAAAAAAATGGCCATTATTACACTAATGGCCAATGCTAGGTAGTCGCCTTTCTTTAGATATGATGAGAAATAAAGGGCCATTACTCTGCATGATGGTAAAATTTCAGGCCGACAAACATTGAAAAGTGGGTTTGATTCTAAGACATAGTTGTCAAGGTGACACCTAGGTCACACGGCACCTATTGAGGGTTACCTTGCTCAAAGCACTATATAATATTTTTATTTTTTGATATTATAATAATAAATGGCCATTATTACACTAAATTATTTATTTTGTGGATTTATATACAGGTTTCTGTTTATTTCCTTATTTGTTAAGGTTCAATCAACATAGATATAGGCATGTGCTCTCTTTAACCCTTGTAAACTTCATTCTTCTTGTTCTACATAGGGGTTCAGCACCTATGTTTTCTGAAATTTCTTTTTTCTTTGTTTTCCTGTCATGAATATGTTGGCTTTTATATTTTGATATGAAGCTTAAACTTATTTGATGAAGATTATTGATAGTTACCAGTGAAAGATTATTGCTGATTGCTATGGAACCTAGGGGATTATTTTTTATTTAAAAAAACCCATTGCCTAGGTGCCTAGGTGATAAGGCACCCCTTTATTGCTTAAGCCTCACCTTGATGCCTTGAAAACTATGTTCTGATTTCTGAGAGTGATCACTTTGTCAAAAAATTAAAAAAAAAATAAAAAGAAAAAACCTGAGGTTAGGTCTGTATCCGCTCCACCCATTCCAAGATCCTTGATTGCTAGGAAACAAAACCTTCAGTAGATTTATCAAAAAACAAAACCTTCAGTAGTTGTATCAGTCTTTCAGGATATCTTTATAGTTGCATACTTTGTCCATTTTTAATATTCTAAATTAAAAGGATGAATCTGATTTTTGTTTTGGAAATCAAATCCTAGACAAACATTTGCTAGGCTAGGTGGACTACCTATGGTTAATGTTGTAAATCTGGTAGTATCTGCTGCAGTGGCATTTTTGTCCTTTTACACCTTTCTTTTTGATAAGTAAGAAAATTTTATTAATTCAGAAATTGAAACTGATACAAACAGCCCATGAAGAAGCATGAGCTGCAGCCTTTCCCAACAGGTTACATAGTGACTAAAAACAAATTACAGCTGAGCCTAATACAAAAATTCCCTATTTGCCCCTTGCTTGGCTAAACAATCAGCCAAAGCATTTACTGATCTCCCCACCCACTGTATTGTTACATACATTTCTTGTCAGCCACTTAAATTTCTTGATTTCATTCTTATAGTACCACACAACAGCCTCAGGGTTCTTCAACCACTCTACCACCACCTTGGAGTTCCCCTCAATTAATAGTTGCTCCACACCCATTTGATTTGCAAACTGCACTCCTTCAGGCAGCTAGTAGTTTGCCCTAACAGAATCCCCAAATCCCAAAGGACCTGAGTAAAGAAGTACAACTTCTCCAAACTTCTTTACTCAGCTTCAGTGAACCTTGAAGAGGGGGAGCCCAACTTGAAATTACCCTATTCTTAATGGAGGAACAGCTTGCCACTGCTGACCAATTTCTTTTACACCTTTTATTTAAATTTATGTTGTTGCCCTAATATAAATAGAAGATTGGGTGCCACCAGTCTGACTTTTTGGTGCGTTTCAAATCTTTTTTCTTCTTCTCTTCTTCTCCCTTCTCTTGTCCTCTTTTTCCTTTGTTTCTACTTGGATAATATGGTATCAGAGCACTATTCTGGGCTCTAGAAACATTCCGATCGTATTTTACTTACCTGGAACTAACCTGTTTTGACTGGAAAGGGAAGAATCTTCAATCGGCCTGATCTGAGCATCCTTTTTCTTTTTTTACCTTTCACTCTTGGTTGTAGTATACCAAGAAAAGGTAACTGTGGTACTCGTGGTGACAGCTGAATGCTGTGAAGAATTTCTTTGGGAGGTGTGTACCTTCCTGTATTGGAACTGTGGAGCATGGGATCCTTTATCCTTCAAGTATGTACTGTTCCATTCATGCTAAGAGTGTACAGTAAGCAATGGTCTTTATATTTTAGAGAATAAAGCTGGTTTTGCAGCATTGGCGTCTATAGGTCTTTTGTGTTAGTCTGTGGGTCAGTCAAATGTGAGTCAAATCTTCTTATGGCATAACCGCCTTGGTCATTTATCGTTTCAGTCCTTGAAAGTCTTGTTTCTTGAGTTATTTAAGTCCATCTCTATTTCAAATTAGTAGTGTTAGGCATGTTAGTGAGTAAGCATTGTAGGACAAATTTTCCTTCAATTAATAAAAGATCAAAATTTCCTAGAAATAACATCAGAGAGGTGATAAGGCATCACCAGAAGAAGAACAACCTCAAGACCCCCAAATAGACCCGCAAACCTCACACATTACAAACATGAGGAAGCCCCACCCATTCCAAGCGAAGATCAAAACAACCCCCCCACCCAACATGAGAAACCCAAAAATAAAAAGGCCATTAACCCAACATCTTACCCTAATCTAAACCCCTCCTTGCTGCCCAACCAAGCCTTCAATCTTCATCTGTGAATGGATCTTCCTAGTCAAAAAAAAATCCTCATCCCATGACTTAGCTCCTTTCCAATAGGCTTTCTTCATCTTCTCTTCCTTTTTTTCTTTTAAATTCCTCAAAAGCCCTTCCGGCGAACTCCTTACCACTCCAAAAGCACAGACCTAGGCTTTTATCAATAACCTCTCTTTCCACTACTTTCTGGATATACACTTCACCTAAATCCCCATTAATTTCAACATTATTTTGTTACAAACAGTTCATATCAGACTCAGGACCCACCCCACTTAACTTGTTTTCCTGTTGTTCCTTCTCCGAAAGGGAGATTGAAGACTGCACTTGCATCGAAGTCCTCCTATGATTAGAGATAGATGTCCTGTTTCCTCTCCATCTTTTCCTTCTATAGACCCATTTGTAATTTTTTGTAGGTCCTGCCCCTGCCAAGCCGAGTTTAAGTCTAGAGAATATATTTGTGACATGCACAATATTTTGATTTCTAGAGCTACACGGTTTCCTACTACTTGTCTCGATGATTTGTTCCCCTTCTTTCTCTTCAGGGTTGTTTCTATGACCTAAATCTACACGCAACCTTTCAATCCTCGCCTCTTCGAAGTGCGACACATTCCAAACGTGGTCAGCCTGTCCACTAGTGCCTTTCCTGGCACCTGAAGCTTCCTTGCCTATAGCCTTAGCTTTACTTGCAACCTAAGCCTCGTCACTGCCACTCCTAGCTTCCTCCTCCCCCCCTTCCGTCCTCATTGGACCAATTGAAACAACCTTGCCCAAAGCCAAAAGCCTTGTGTTTTCACTACCACAACTGCCTGTAGCCAAGTCCCCGGACTCAGGGGAGGTGGAAGTCCCATTTGTGCTATTTCTTTCTTGCCCTTCATCTCCGACGCCTCTAGTCTCCAAGGCAGGAGAGCAAAAATTGAAGCTCACCTTTGAACCACCAATGATCCTATTTTTTCCACTTTTATCAAACTTTGCGATCACTCATATTCATCTGTTTCGCTTTCTATCCCTTATCTCCATCCAGGCGCACCTACATGTAGTTCCGCTTCTCTTAAAGCTTGGTCTGTTGATTCCTAGAAGCTTTCCACTACTAGGTTTTCTAGTTTTTCTTTCCTGTCTTCCACTATGCCCATTGGTGCTGGGACTTGAACTCCGGACAAAGGTTTTTTTGGACGAGCCCACCACTTCAATCGAACACTTTGAACAGAGGTAGAAGATAACCTCTCTTCACGAGTCACGTGATGATTTAGAAAGTCACCTGACCTACTTTCAATAACCCGACCCAAACTTAAAACCGGTTCTACCTCTGTAACTCGAATTGGTTCAGGCCAACTCTGGCTCAATTTCAAACTACCAATGGGCCCAAACTTCTTAGATGACGTGTCCCCAGCTCCCCGCATTTATCAGACTCCATAAAACAATTTACACCTGGCCCTATTTCGCTACTTTCAAGAAAATTTGACTCCCCAAATACCACACGTGAAACCTCTTCATTAATTTCCAACGTTTGGTTCAGCATTTCCTTAYCACGTGTCACCCAATCCTCATGGTTACCTTTGTTTTCTTTCTTGGTGAGCTTCATCCACCGTGATGCTTCAGCTTCTAGCAAGGCCCAAACTTGGAGCTAGAGATTGCTAGCAAGTAGATTCAGACATCTAGGGATTTATTCAGGTTTCAACCTGTTAAGTCCTTAAGTTTGCTGGACTGGGAACAGGTTATTAAGATACTCCTAAACACAGCTTAAAAAAAAATAATAATAACAATAAAGAAGAAAATGGGCTTTCTTATAAGCCCAGTCAATCCTATTGGTGGGCTGAAACATTTTAATAAAAAAAGGGGCCTGCAGTCTAGTTTAGTGAACAACAGGCCCCAAGTTAATTGGGCTTGTTTGTAATGCAATAAGCATTTAATGGGCCTGCAGTAGAGCCCATTCGATGGAACAACAGGCCCTAAAAGAATAAATCTATATTAATTAATTTCTTTTGAGGTGTCCCACTTAT